GCTCTAGTGTGATCTCAAGCTCTGGTGTGCTAGTGCTCCTCTTTGCCCCGGGTCTGCCACCAGGATCTGAGTATGGGCAAAGCAACAGAGTCCTCCCTCAGTACTAGCAAAGAGATCCCTGTAATCTCCTTCTGACCAGTTGTTTTACCCCCTTACCATCTGTGGGCTGAGAGCTCCAGAAGGAGCTACTGCTGCTGCTGATTCATTGACTCCTAAGGTATGCTCCTGGTTTGCTAGGGTTGGTTCTGTGCTGATCTTCCTCATCACCATAGTAACTTTCTATGGTCAGAATTTTTTTCTGTTGTTTGCTCATTTTCTAACCTATTTCTTCACTTTTAACTGTGCTAAAATGGGGCTCTGCTTCCTAGGTCAAGGGGCATGGTCCAAGCTTCATGTTTTCTGTGCCACTGTTTTCAGAGGTAATTCTGGGGAACTGTAAGTTTTTGGCTTTTCCCAGGTGTTATGATCTAGGGAAGGATCTATTTTCTTCTCTCTTGTACTGAGCATTGGTTTGTGAGTGACCACAAATACTCTTTTCAACCCCAGAACTGTGACCAGGTTCCCTGCTCCCCTGTGGCTGCAAGTTCTGCTGTGCTAGTAATCCTCCTTGCACTGGGACTAAGACCCAGGATTGTGACCCAGATTCATGTATAGGCAATGCAACAGAATCCTGCCCCTGTTGCCAGCAGAGGGACCCCTGTAAATTTCCTTCTTACCTGTTGTCTGATCCCCTTACTGTCTTGTGGGCTGAGAGGTCTGGAAACTGCCACTGCTGCCACTGATTCAGTCACCCTGAAGCCTGCTCCTGGTTTGTTGGGGCCAGATCTGCGGCCTGTGCTGGACTATGCTCTTCTTTCACCCTGGTGCAACAGACCCTTCCTCCTGACCTTCTAAGTTGTCTTGGGCTGGAAAATTGTTTCACTCCATCTTTTTGTGGGTTCTGCCACTCCAGAATTTGTGTAGAGTCACTATTTAAAGGTATTTGAAGGGGTTTGGGGGAGAGTTCAGGTGAGTCCCTGCCTTTATTCTGCCATCTTGGCTCCACCTCTCTCCATGTTCTTTCTCATTGCCCTAACCTATTCTCTGTCTACCAGAATTATTTTTCTAAAGCACCAATATGACATTGCCACTCCTCCACTTAGTAAACTCATGTGGTTCCTAGTTGTCTCTAGGAGCAAATAAAAACTCTGCCTGGCTTTTCAATAATTTTATAACTTAGCTCTAGTGTTTGTCCAAAATTGAACTCATTATCTTTCCCCCAAGCCCTTACCTCTTCTTAACTTCTCTGTTCTTATTCAGAGCGCCAAGACTCACTGCTTAGGTGTCTTCCTTTACTACTCAATTCCCTCCTAACACTGTCCAATCAGTTGTCAAGTCCTGTCAATTCTACCTTTGTACTATCTCTTGTATACATCCTTATCTTTCCTCTAACATTGTAATCCCTCTGGTATAGGCCCTTATCACTTTATACTTGGAGTATTGCAATAGCCTTTTGACTGGTCTCCCTGCCTAAAGTCTTTCCTGATTTCAGTTTATCTTCTATTCAGCCCTTAGAGTGATTTTCCTACCTTCCAGGTCACCTTTCTAATAAACTCCTGTGGCTATTAATACCTCCAAGATCAAATATAAATTTTTCTGTTTGGCATTCAAAGCTCTTCATATACTATCCTCCGCCTCCTTTCCCGGTCTTCTCATACCTTATTCCACTTCACGTGTTCAGCAATACAGTGACATTGAGCTCTCTGCTATTCCTTGAATATGATACTACATTTATCAACTCTAGGCAGTTTTACTGGCTCTCCCTCCTCAGCTTCATCTTCTAGATTCCTTCAAGTCTCAGCTACAATACCAACCTCTGAAAGAAACTTTTCCTGATTCCCTTTCCTGTCAGTGCCTTTTCTTCGAGATTATCTCCCATTTATCCTCTCTGTATCTTATTTGTAAATAGCTATTTTCAATATGTCTCTCCCATTAGACTGTGACATCTTTTGAGAGCAAAGGCTGTTTTTTTAAACCTTTTTTTTTTTATCCCTAGTGATTAGCACAGTGCCAGAAACATAAGAGGCAGTTAATAAATTCTTGTTGATGTGACTTGATGTGACTTGGAATGTCCAATATAAAAGCAAGAAGAAAGTTTTATAATTTAAAATTCTGGTGGTATTTTTGAGTTGTGTTTTTCTTTTTGCATGTTGTTTTCACCTTATAGTTCTTCATCAATGTATCTTTGTAAGGTGTGTTTGTAATGACCATTTAATTTTGTAGGAGTGAAAGATTAAAGATCATAAAAGAAATAAGCAATAGAACTGAAAGGTTTTGGCTTTTATTGTCATTAGCTGTTTTCCTTATCTTTTTAGTCACGAGGGAAGAAATAGAAAGACTATTTTAGCACAGTATCATGGATCATTTTTCATAGTTTCTAGTGAACTTTATTTCCTTTCATGACCTTACATTTTTTTCAGCATGATTTGAATTTTACACATCACCTTGTTGCAAATTAAGTTAAAAAACATCTATTTAGTTTAAAAAAAACTAAAGTTTTGGGGAATATATAAACTCTAGATGGCTAAAAAAATTTTTGGTTCGGAATGGATGGTAGAATCAAAATGTACTATGTAAACTAAAATATGAACCAAAATACAGTTAGTTGTGGACTAAAATGACTGACTCACGTAAGTCTATGGGATGAAAATGTATTTAAGTTGTTGTTGTTTTTTTTACCTTATTACATACAGCAGTTGTTTTGGTTTGAAATTCCACATTTTCCTCCTTTTGTTCCGTAGAACTTTGAAGAAGAGCTGCTTTGTTCAACAAAACTAAAGGCTTAAAATAATTTTAACTAGTGGATTCACCTTTAAGAATAATAGGTAGCTGTTAAGATTTAATTGCTTGTGTAAAATGAAGATATAATAAAGATCATAACGTTAATGTTTTTTACCATGTGATTTATGAATTACTTTTCACATTGGTTTTTTTTTGTTTGTTTGTTTTTACCAATTACTGATGTAGCATATAACTGTGTAGTTCTTCAAACCTTACTTGAAAAATGCATAATGTGTTGCTCTGAAGTTAAAAATAACAGGCTAGGCTGTCCAGTTACTTCAACAAATATCATTTACTTTATCTTCTTTTAAAAACATTTCACTGATATTTTTACATCATAGTTATTTCAGCATACGCTCCTTCCTACTGGAGAGTATTCTCTTGTAATTCTCTTGTCTGATAACTTTTGCCACACCTATAACCTGTTAACTCTCCAAGGAAAGGGAGGGAATTCCTTTCCACTTTTCTCCTCCAGGGCCTTGGTTGCTCATTATGATTATATATTTTTTAAAAAATATTTTTCTCAATTACTTGTAAAACATTTAACATTCTTTTTTTTAATTGAGTTACAAATTCTCTCCCTCACTTCCTCCCCTACATTGCCTTGAGAAGGCAAGCAGTTTGATATAGATTATACCATGGCACAGTGGATGAAGTGCTGAGCCTGGATTCAGGAGGACCAGAGTTCAAATGTGGCCTCAAACACTTGATAACTATATGACCCTGAGCAAGCCACTTAACCCTGTTTGTCTCAATTTCCTTACATCTGAGCTAAAGAAGGAAATGGCAAACTACTCCAGTGTCTTTGCCAAGAAGACCCCAAATTGGGTCATGAAGACTCAGAATGAAAACCAACCAAACAACAACATACATATGAAATCATGTAAAACATTTTCCCATACATATTAGCCATGCCACAAAACAAAACAGAGATCAAAAAAACAAAACAAAGAAACAACCTTAAGAAAGTTAAAAAAAAAAGTATGCTTCAATTTGCATTCAGTCTCCATCAATTCTTTTTCTGGAGGTGGATAGCATTTTCATAAATTCTTTGGAATTGTCTTCGATTATTGTATTGATCAGAATAGCTAAGTCATTCACAGTTGATCATTGTACAGTATTGTTTTTACTGTTACAGTGTCCTGTTTCTGTTCACTTCACTTTGTGTGAGTTCATATAAGTCTTCTAAGGTTTTTCTGAAACCATCCTACTTGTCATTTCTTATAGCACAGTAGTATTCCAACACAACCATATAGCACAACTTGTTCAGCCATTCCCTAATTAATGAGCATCTCCTCAAATTCCAATTCTTTGCCACCATAAAAAGGATCTCTTTGATCTCTTTGGTATAGAGACTATTAGTGGTACTGCTGTATCAAAGGATATGCACACTTTTATAGCCTTTTGGGCATAATTTGAAATTGCTCTTCAGAATGGTTGGATTAATTCACAACTCCACCAGTGGAGTTTTCACCTATCTGGTTTTTCCCCCCATGTTTCAATCACTTTTGTCTAAGAGTAGTTCTTCAGAGCTAATTAGATGCCTTATGTTGAAGAAACTGTTACTTCTTTTTTTTTCTTACGTGTAATAAATAATCAATTTATTAATTAGGCTAGCTGGCAAATCAATAAATTGATAGTCAGTAGTTTCTCTCAGTAACCACAGTTACTTTTTCTTAAACTGTCTTATCAGTGTGTATTTCACTAAATTGATAATTATGGTTAAATAATTATCAGGTACTCTAAGTACTTCTTAATTTATTGTTTTACGTAGAGTATACTTGATGTTTCAGTGTCATACAATTTTTTGTATTTTAATGACAGTAGTATGTGGAATCAAGCAAGTGTACTATAAATATTAAGACCAATGGTTTGAGTGTTTCATTAGAAATTCACCAAATAGGATACT